ATATTATATATATTGATATACTTTTTATGAATTTAATAATAGATTGTAATATACTGACTTGTATATACTGATAAATTCATAGATTTTTATTTAGTAATAGATAAATCGTTATAAGTTGATCTTTATTAATTTTATTTATGTTTATTATAATAAATATTTTCGTTTTTATTGCAGATTTTTTATTTAGTAACCGATTCTCCTCAAGATTTAGAGAAAAAACAAGAAGAAGAGATAGAAGTCGTTCCAGCGTCTTGTTTGACACATAACTTAGTCTTTCTTGACAAGTATACAGAATATCGCATACAAGTTTTAGCGTTTAATCCGGCCGGAGATGGCCCAAGATCTCCGCCAATTACTGTGAGAACGAAACAGGTAATTTTCTTAGATATATTATGTCGTAAATATTCTATGATAATAGCAATGTTCAATGTTGATATTTTTTTTGATAAAAACACATGTTTATAAACGGTATTTAAACTCTGGTATTCAACGTAATTGCAGGATATACCAGGACCACCATATCATTTGCAATTTAACGAAATTACCATGACCAGCTTGCGCGTTTCTTGGAACCCTCCGAAGTTACGCAATGGCGAGATAGTTGGTTACATCGTTACTTATGAAACTGCAGAGCAAAATGACCGTAAGACAAATTAATGTCTGTATAAAAAAAAATTATTTAACGTTAAGGATTTAATTTTTTAGTTATTTTTTTTAACTATTATTACTTTTTTATATTATCGTCAGAACATTGCGCTTTAATTAATATGTACTCAAATGTCTATTGTTTTTTTATGACGAACACATTAATTTTATTCCGAGAAAAGTTCATATATATATTAAATTCACTTTGCAAAGATTTAATTATGATACATTCCATATTTATCTTTTTGCTAACTTGTCAACATTTTATCTAAGGTTTTAGTAAACAAGTTAAACAAAAAGTGACGGAGACGAGTCTTCTTATTCAACCGCTGGAAGAGGAAGTAACGTATACCTTCATGGTTCGCGCGCAGACGATCGACTTCGGACCGCCGATATCCGGCAATGTTACAACTGGTCCGCAAGAAGGTTCGCCGATGGAGCCTAGCAATCTCGGCGTGACTAAAACAGTCTCCAGTGTGGAACTGCAATGGACCAATGGTGCTTCCGGCAAAGGTCCTATACTCGGTTATTACATCGAAACTCGTCGTAAAGGTAAATATATGATCTTTATACGCAATCGTTTATATTTATTTCAAAGGAGTTTAAAAAATCTGTTACAGCGTCTGTTCAAAATTTTTTAATATTTTACTGTTTATCGAAATAGAAAATATTATTAGTTTATTGCAATAGAAAATACAAAATTTAATGCGATTAATTTCTTTTATTATAACTAATGTATGAAATAAATTTTGATTGTGTCGCGAACATTTGTTGGAGTTGCAATTTCACAAAATAAAAATATACAACTATGTATATATATATATATATATATATATAGTCTTTTTTTAAATAAATTCAGCGTAATATCGTCATACTATTTTATATTTGCGTCCAACTCGATTACCGGTTCTGCTAACACTAATACCGTCTTTTTTATAACTGTATAGCGATGGAAGAATGGCAGCATTGTAAGTGTCAACACACGTAACTATGCTGAGCATCAGTCATTGCATTTAGATGGTTTTGATAGTGAGATCCCTGTTAGCGTAACAATATCGCTTTTGACAATCCATTGTATACTACTATGTGTACCGTGGTCGTTTGGAAATTCCAATAATTTGCATGATAATGTCATAGCATGACATCGCCAGAAACCCATTTTATATGTTCAAGCAGGATTTTACTGAAAATATATTAACTTCATGTAGCGCTATAACATGATTGTCTATATCATTCCGACAAAGAAATGATTGATTATATTAGCGTGATTTGTTGTACTGTTCATTGGTAACGCCACAGTTTTTGTTATTTAGCCCCTCTTCCCTGTAATTAATCTCGTTTTTAATATTTTGGCGTGCAGATGTGTGCACACACGGTATTTTTCATATGTCGTATAATAATAAAACAAAGAATACCGATGTTACTCTTCAAAACATTTCGCACAGGAAATGGCCGGCACTCAAAATATTAAAATAGTCACCAGACTAATACGAGCTCCTATTTATTTGTTATACATAATGTCTTATTTCTATCGCATTATTTTTTATAACATTCTTTGGCTAATTTGAAATCAACTTTTCCTTAAGAAACATATTAACGCTAAATATTAGCAATATTTGTGATTGAAAGTAGAGGATTTCTGGCAAATTAAAGCTGAAAGAAAAAAATGAATAACAAAGTTATATTTTTTAGGATTCCAAAACGTAACAGCCAAATATTATATTATAATTACAATCAAAATTCTATAATTCACGTGATGTGAGCTAGAGGTAGTTTATATATTTTAGAATGTTAGTTTAGAAAAAGAACATACAGTAATTTTTTTTATTATAATAAATAAATTATATAAAGTCGATCTTTTGCTACAAAATTTGATTTATTTATTTAATTGAGAGATATATGATATTGGAATGACAGTTTCAAGGAGAAGTTGATTCTAAATTGATCGAAGAATCTGGCATTGAAAAATCATGTTGTACAAATGGGACATTCCGTACAAAAGGATTGGATTATACATATATATATGTAAACAAAATAATGTGTTTTCCGAAAAAACTTTTTTCTTTACTATTTCAAAGATTATAACACGGTTTATGTATGTAATTATAGACGATTCGCGCTGGCAGACAATAGTTCGTACCAGTAATGGACCACTGACGGAATATACCGTGTCTTATCAAAATTTACTGCCATCCACATCGTATTTGTTCAGAGTAATATCATACAATCGTTATGGAATCAGTTATCCAGCATATTCCACCGAAACGGTAAGTTTATTTAAAAAGAAATGATTATTCATTTGGATACTAAATTTACTTTGTGAATATTCATTATTTTGACGTTATACTTTCATACATACGTTTATTTATTTGAAGACACATAATCTATTGCGAATTAACATATTTTATTAATGGAATCATTTTACCAGATTTTGACACCATCGAAACTGTACCTGGAATACGCATATCTACAACACAGGCCATTTTACAGACAGACCTGGTTCATGGTTACTTTAGCCGCTATATCAATTATAATTATCATTATGGTCATAGCAGTATTATGCGTAAAGAGTAAAAGTTACAAATACAAACGTAAGTTGAATTTAATATGCATATATAAATTAATTCCTATGAAAAATCAGATTATGTTAGTAAATCGCTTATCTACAATTTGTTACATATAATTTATATATTAATAATTATACTGTAGAAGAGGCACAAAAGACTCTGGAGGAGTCGATGGCGATGGACGCGGACGACAGGCAAGAGTCGGACTTAGAATTGTACAGATCACGCCAGGGTGGAGGTGGTGCCGTTAATGCGACAAGCGGCACTCTGGGTAAAAGAAATACATTGGCCCGGAAGGCAATGCATCCTCCGCCACCTACTATGCTGGGCAAATCGCCTCCCAGGCCTTCTCCAGCGTCGGTCGCCTATCATAGCGACGAAGAGAGTCTCAAGGGATACGATGAGAATCCTGACGACAGTAGTGTCACGGAGAAGCCCTCCGAAATTAGTTCTACCGATTCTCAGGTGATTCTTCATAAAATGTAGGGCAAAGCACATCTCTGACAACATGAATCTCAATTTCGTTCTTATTTCACAGGGTTCCGAGAGCGAGAACGAGAGTGTGCAATCCGATCCACATTCCTTCGTGAATCACTATGCGAACGTCAACGACTCGTTAAGACAATCGTGGAAACGGCAGAAACCCGTCCGGAACTATTCATCATACACGGACTCCGAGCCGGAAGGCAGCGCGGTCGTCAGTCTGAATGGCGGTCAGATCATCATGAATAACATGGCCAGATCGAGAGCGCCGCTTCCCGGTTTTTCGTCGTTCGTGTAATGAAATGAATTATCAAGACTACGTTAAGATAGGAATTTTTTTCCTACATCAAAATTAATATCGCAGCTACTTCGTTCTTAGCGAAGTCTTTTTATAAATATACGTACATAGAGCGAAAGACTTATGTCGGGAACACGTGTGTTTCGCATGTATTCCCGCGACGACATAGACTTATAGCAAACTGTAGGAAGCTTCAGGCATCTTCGTATTGTGATATATTGATACATATATTATTTATAATTTTCGATAAGACATTTTGCATTTAATAGATACTTTTGTACTTTCTTGGATTAGTTTAAGAATCAAACAGCTAGCTTACGAATCTCGTACGAATATCTTACAAATTTCGTGCCTGTACAGAGCAGAAAAGTGTAAGTCCAAATATCATTCTTTTTTTCAACAGATATTTCGGTCTTAGACTCTTCTATTTTTCAGGTACAATTATAGATACACGATTACATTCGATCCTGAGGATCTTGTACTCTTTAAAAGTATTTATATCGTCGACGTATTTATAAACGATAATCGGGATCGTGATATTGCAGAATTTTCAAAACAAAAAATATCAATTCAGATTCAACATAGCAATCGTTGGCCTATCTATCTTATTAATCCAGTAAAGACTTTATTATAAAGATCGCGAGTTGTGGGGCACTGTATAAATCCTCTCTTATGCTGACGTATTTGTACGTCAGATGTGCTTGTAAATATGTTATATATTTTCTGTAAGAATGTAGATTTTGTATAATGCTGCTATACATGTATTCAGCGGACTATATCTATCGCATTCGCATTTTGTGATAATACAGTAAATGCTCCATAGTCGGGACTTACATTTTACTAAACTGTCACGAATACGGAATCGCGATTCTGAAAAGTAAAATGTGTATAGAAAGAGTAAAATTTGCCATACTTTTTAAATGACCCAATATATATATGAACATATTTTTTTTATTTTTCATGCATCTTTCCTAATTCGTTTTATTTAAAAATAAAAATTATTTCTCAAAATTGTCAAAAAATATTCTTTTTATCTTCGTTATTATAATAAATGAAATATCTTAGGCCTGCGAATAGGAAATATGCAAACATATGGAGCTTTTATTGTACATAAATATATCATAGTTGAGATACAGTATTCATATCTTCTTAAACATTCTCGTTTTATTAATGTCCAAAGTCGGGGTATCGAATGGAACTACGACGATACATATGTCAAATCTATTATAACTGTGCGAATAATGAAATTTAAAAAACAGAAGAAAGAGAAGCCTAATCTAATTAATAATTACGAAGACTATTATCGCTTCGTATTTTCTAATATTTTATTCATTCATAAAAAATGATATAAATATTTAGATATAATTTTATTTTAGATAATTATATTTTTTTTTAAAAGCAAATTCTACGAACACGTCGTGAGATGCAGCGGAAACATTTTCTTCTTTCGGGAAAATGATTCTACAGAAATACTTCGACGTTCCCGCGACACTGCCAGTGAACGCTTAGTGCAAATTTTAATTTTATTTATATACTTCCACGCGTATTTGTAATGACATAAGAAAAAGTATAAAAATCAGCTGTAATGTCAATTGTATACGACATTGAGAAAAAAACATCTGTTAATCTTTTAATAAAAATTTATGACATTTTGGAAAAATATTTCTATAACAAGCTGATTTATTTACCAATTTGGAATTACTACATATTTGTAAAGTCAATATTTGTATAACTAATTTTTATACATATTTCTATATTATACTAGTTCATTAATTAAATTTTTTATAAATTATATATTTCCGACGGAGTTCTTGTATCATGGACATATAAAGTATAAAAATTAATAACGCACGATTTTATGAATGAAAAACAATATATTCATATCCATTTATTAACATATCAAAGTTTTTATAAAAAGGAAATTATTTATCGTAATTATTAATCATCAGTAAAAAAACTTTCGCACCGTATGTACCACTCGTGAAGAACTGACGGTAAATCGGTTTCGTGAAATTGTTTAATTAGAGACCACACTGCAATGTCTACAATATTAAATCCACCCTTGCAAGACCATTTCTCAAATTCATTGGCTAATGTAATCAATCCGTCTTTTATACATTTCTGATTGTGTAAGAAATTGGTGAAGTCAAGTGCAAAATCCAATGTTTGTGGTTGTGAGCACGTGCTCTCGTAATTGTGCGATTCTATCAATCTGCTCATTAATCTGAGAAAATTAACTTCACCTCTTATAGGACAGGAATACGTATTTACAACTGTCTCCATGTCCAGAACTAAAAAGGAATGCAATCAAATGTAAGATATTTAAATAAATTGTTAAAGAAAAGTATTTTAATATAAGTGAACGATAAAAAAGTAATAAAAAGTTTGATTGTAAAAAAGTCTGATTTTTTCCAAAATTTCATTGCATTCTCAATTAATGGAATAAATAATTATAAGAAAAGATGCCTTTTTTAAAGACAAAGATCTTACCATCTTTCCATATTAATGTTATAAATTGTGTGGCTTTTGTAGAAGGAAGAATCCGCTTAGGAAAAATAATAGGTATTTCATCTTTCATAGTAGAATGAGTATGTGATGTCACATTAAACTGGATGTCTTTCCAAAGTTTCTGCAGAGCCAGTATTGAATATGGTGGTTTTCTTGGGTTGACATTCAGTACTATGTGGCTGATGACTGGTTTCTGTAAATGTACAACTGTCCCTAATTCGAGCCTTCTTATTGTGCAACAATTAAATAAAACTACAATTTTATTATAAATGATAGTGATTGATGCATTAATCATAATTACTAATTAAATATGATAATATTTAGCGAGCAATTATAGTTAATGCATTAATTGTTAACCTGGACTTCTACAGAATTTTTCACTTCCGTTTGATTAGATTGTTTCACTTCCATTTGATTAGACTGTTTCAAGAAATGGCATAATGTAGAGACTTGCTTTTTAAGTTCCGCCAATTGGTTAAGAATTTTCTCTTGTCTAGCTTCTAATAATCCATATTCTGGTAAAGGTGCCTAAAAATAAAAATAATTGTTACTCTATACATTATTTCATATTCTGTATAAAGACATTTATTCAACATATTTAAATCAAACATTTGCCATATGCATAAATGTTAAAAAAAAACTACATCACTGAACTTAAAAAATGTATCATAACAATGTTCAAGATTTTTAATTAAGGGAGTGTATTGATGTTCATGTCTGTTGTCTTTTTTAAAATGAAGGTAGAAAAAGCAAAATAACAGGCATGAATACATGTCTGATACTTGCACCTAACAATATACGAATATAAATACGAATACAAAATCTACTGTAGATTTTAGGATGTTACAAAACAATATTAATAAAAAAAGTCGAATGTACTCTGCTGTATAAATAAAATATACATATTGTTCTAAATTTATACATATATCAATGTTCGACTTTGTAAATTCCAAGCAAGATTGTTTTTTTTTTATTCACATAGGCATGTTATGATCAAAATGTCAATATAATAAGTAGATATTAAAAAATGAAAGAAATGAATATAGTTTTATATAAAATTGATAATTATCCTATTGCCAACGCAGACATAACACAATATAAATATCCTTCCTAACTACTAAATCTAGATACATAAACGAAGAGATCAAAACTTTCAATGATCTCATTGAACATAGTATTTTTTAGCTGAACTTTTTACACAGTTTATTTTTCCTCTTTTCTTCTCAACAGGAACAGAAAAAAGAAAGATAAATCCAGATCAATTAAAAAGAACAGGTGTATATAATTACAAATATAATGGCTACACATGCCAAAATTATCTTATATTCAATTTACTGAAATTTTTGACAGATAAACACATAGCCAACATAAAACCCAGCAAACAAATATATTACGTGTGAAATACTTTAAAGACAATAAATTCCAACACCAATCGATTCATGAGGGTCGTCCAGTCAAAGCTCGACATAAATGTCAATTGATATTTATATCGTTAATGACAACAATGAATTAACTCTTGTTCGTAATGGCGCAACGAAACTTTTGTTTGCTTTTATCCGATCTTCGCACTTTTTCTACAGTTAACAACAATCGGAATCGCGCGTCTTCCTCTTCTGCGCGTGGAAGTTAAATAGTTCACACCGCCACGGAATACAACTCGCGTTTCTTTCGCGCATTCATACCATATTTCAATGATTTCAATCGGCATGCCTTTTCTGTTTCACGAAGCAACTTCCGCGAGAGACCGTCGACATTTCCCCCCGAGAATCACTCGAAAAAAAAGGATCCCAGGGGGGGAGGGACACATCGATCAAGCCTCTCGAGGCGGCGAGAGAGAAAGAGAAAGAGAACCGCAGCACGTCGCTGCTCCGCTCTCCTGGTCGATTACGGATCAGTGTGCCCGCGGAAATTTTCGGGAAGTCATCATGTCTCGCTTGTTCGAACGATTACGATCGCGGCCGCGGCCGCGATCGACAGCTCGCGCGTTCGCGAGCCGTCGCGGACACACGCGCGGCCACGGGCGATGTATCAACCGCGGGTTCCGATCAAACGAAAACGAAACGGCAACCTGCAGAAGGCGGATAACCTGCGAGACAACGGCGTCGTCGGGCATCTTGGCTTCGGTGGCGGTGGTGTTGGCGGTATCGTGGCGACAGGGTCGGGTGTCGATCGTATCTTCGTGAATATTTCGCATTTTATACATGGAACTCGAGTGCGGAAACTTCGCGGGTAGGACGACCGTAGGTTGCACCGGGTACATCCTCGTCGACATCGTCGCCATCGTCGCGTGGCTGCTCATTTTAGCAACCGAGAAAGACTCACGCACGTCAAGTCGAAAAATCTATCGTTCCATGCTCGTTCTCGGGTGCTCTCGTTCGCTCATACTCGCGCACTCTCGCGCCACGCACGCCACGTTTCCTTCATGGCGTCGTGGTTGCGCTGCGCACCGAGAGATGGCGCGCGAGCAGCGATTCTCCGTCGGTAACCTCAATCTCATTGTCCGGATGATCCTTTTCTCGATCTCTGGATACTAAGATGCTGTCCATTTGGTGACTCAAGTCTGTTTCTTCTTCCTTTTCTTCCTTTTCTTCTTAAAAGCTGTTAACTGGTCTCGTTTCTGTCATCAGAATCAATTTAATCAGATATAAAGAAAGATGAAAGAACGCATACCATCTCACGTTTATGAATCTTTCAATTAGTGGATGATGCGATCACATAAGTCGGGATAAGACAACAAGTATCTCCTTTTTATTCATGGAATGCCAAGAAAGAGTATTATATATTTATGAAAAGGAAAATATCCAAAAGAGGCTAATCATGTGCCTTTGCTTTCTGTTTCTCGCTATATTACTTTTTATCTCTTGTTTTTTGCCTTTTATACTTCTACCAATATTTAATTTACTTATCTTTTTCTAATTTTTAGAACTAGGAAAAGGTGAAAATTTAGTTGAATCGAGATTAAACTATTGGTAGAAATGGGCATTATCCATTCCTTCATTTTATTTCTGAATGAAACAATTAGAAATAAAATGTGGACGAACTTCAGAGGACCAGACAAAAATAAATGAAGAGGAACACAATTGTCGATAAAATTGTCACAAAGAGGAGAAATAAACACGAAATAAAAGCAAAGATTACATTTAGCCTTTAGATTTAACCGACAAATTCTTTCGAGTTAAACTTTTTGCATAATTCATCTTTTCTCTCTTTCTTTCCAACGTGAAGAGAAAAAGAGGAAAAATTAATATCGTGCAAAGTTTAGTTAAAAAGAGCAAACCTTCAGTTTCCTTATTGTCTCTAATCAAATTTTCTGG